GTAACATAAAGCTAAACCATTGATCATCTGAACCCACTGTAAATTAGTGAAGGAAACTATATCTTCAAATTCAGTTATTGCTCAATAGCTTATATTTGGTAGTGACAAGAAATTGACACGCATTCATTGCCTCAAAACAATCTGCTGCTGCATTGGCCGAGAGTTGAACCCGGATCGACTGCTTGGAAGGCAACCATGCTAACCGTTACACCACCAATGCCAGGCTCATTACAGTTTGTCTAATTAGCGATGTCGGAAAGTTCATTTTTGGGGAGATGTATTGAAAATGTAACATGATTCAATGTTCATTGTGTTCATTGAATAAATCGAAGTGATTTTATTTAGTGATTCAATTTTTTTTCAATCCTTTCATTTTGTAACTCATCTCGGGGATGTAACTCAGTGGTAGAGCGCATGCTTTGCATGTATGAGGCCCCGGGTTCGAAACCCGGCATCTCCATTTTCTGATGCTGGTTGAAAACAAGTTGATGAGGGGGGGAAAACGTTTTAGAGATGTGTTGATTCGTAATTGAAAGTAACATAAAGCTAAACCATTTGATCATCTTGAACCCACTTGTAAATTAGTTGAAGGAAACTATATTCTTCAATTCAGTTATTGCTCAATAGCTTATATTTGGTAGTGACAAGAAATTGACACGCATTCATTGCCTCAAAACAATCTGCTGCTGCATTGGCCGGGAGTTGAACCCGGATCGACTGCTTGGAAGGCAACCATGCTAACCGTTACACCACCAATGCCAGGCTCATTACAGTTTGTCTAATTAGCGATGTCGGAAAGTTCATTTTTGGGGAGATGTATTGAAAATGTAACATGATTCAATGTTCATTGTGTTCATTGAATAAATCGAAGTGATTTTATTTAGTGATTCAATTTTTTTTCAATCCTTTCATTTTGCAACTCATCTCGGGGATGTAGCTCAGTGGTAGAGCGCATGCTTTGCATGTATGAGCCCCGGGTTCGAAACCCGGCATCTCCATTTTCTGATGCTGGTTGAAACAAGTTGATGAGGGGGGAAAAACGTTTTAGAGATGTGTTGATTCGTAATTGAAAGTAACATAAAGCTAAACCATTTGATCATCTTGAACCCACTTGTATATTAGTTGAAGGAAACTATATTCTTCAATTCAGTTATTGCTCAATAGCTTATATTTGGTAGTGACAAGAAATTGACACGCATTCATTACCTCAAAACAATCTGCTGCTGCATTGGCCGGGAGTTGAAGCCGGATCGACAGCTTGGAAGGCAACCATGCTAACCGTTACACCACCAATGCCAGGCTCATTACAGTTTGTCTAATTAGCGATGTCGGAAAGTTCATTTTTGGGGAGATGTATTGAAAATGTAACATGATTCAATGTTCATTGTGTTCATTGAATAAATCGAAGTGATTTTATTTAGTGATTCAATTTTTTTTCAATCCTTTTATTTTGTAACTCATCTCGGGGATGTAGCTCAGTGGTAGAGCGCATGCTTTGCATGTATGAGGCCCCGGGTTCGAAACCCGGCATCTCCATTTTCTGATGCTGGTTGAAAACAAGTTGATGAGGGGGGAAAAACGTTTTAGAGATGTGTTGATTCGTAATTGAAAGTAACATAAAGCTAAACCATTTGATCATCTTGAACCCACTTGTAAATTAGTTGAAGGAAACTATATTCTTCAATTCAGTTATTGCTCAATAGCTTATATTTGGTAGTGACAAGAAATTGACACGCATTCATTGCCTCAAAACAATCTGCTGCTGCATTGGCCGGGAGTTGAACCCGGATCGACTGCTTGGAAAGCAACCATGCTAACCGTTACACCACCAATGCCAGGCTCATTACAGTTTGTCTAATTAGCGATGTCGGAAAGTTCATTTTTGGGGAGATGTATTGAAAATGTAACATGATTCAATGTTCATTGTGTTCATTGAATAAATCGAAGTGATTTTATTTAGTGATTCAATTTTTTTTCAATCCTTTTATTTTGTAACTCATCTCGGGGATGTAGCTCAGTGGTAGAGCGCATGCTTTGCATGTATGAGGCCCCGGGTTCGAAACCCGGCATCTCCATTTTCTGATGCTGGTTGAAAACAAGTTGATGAGGGGGGAAAAACGTTTTAGAGATGTGTTGATTCGTAATTGAAAGTAACATAAAGCTAAACCATTTGATCATCTTGAACCCACTTGTAAATTAGTTGAAGGAAACTATATTCTTCAATTCAGTTATTGCTCAATAGCTTATATTTGGTAGTGACAAGAAATTGACACGCATTCATTGCCTCAAAACAATCTGCTGCTGCATTGGCCGGGAGTTGAACCCGGATCGACTGCTTGGAAGGCAACCATGCTAACCGTTACACCACCAATGCCAGGCTCATTACAGTTTGTCTAATTAGCGATGTCGGAAAGTTCATTTTTGGGGAGATGTATTGAAAATGTAACATGATTCAATGTTCATTGTGTTCATTGAATAAATCGAAGTGATTTTATTTAGTGATTCAATTTTTTTTCAATCCTTTCATTTTGTAACTCATCTCGGGGATGTAGCTCAGTGGTAGAGCGCATGCTTTGCATGTATGAGGCCCCGGGTTCGAAACCCGGCATCTCCATTTTCTGATGCTGGTTGAAAACAAGTTGATGAGGGGGGAAAAACGTTTTAGAGATGTGTTGATCGTAATGAAAGTAACATAAAGCTAAACCATTTGATCATCTTGAACCCACTTGTAAATTAGTTGAAGGAAACTATATTCTTCAATTCAGTTATTGCTCAATAGCTTATATTTGGTAGTGACAAGAAATTGACACGCATTCATTGCCTCAAAACAATCTGCTGCTGCATTGGCCGGGAGTTGAACCCGGATCGACTGCTTGGAAGGCAACCATGCTAACCGTTACACCACCAATGCCAGGCTCATTACAGTTTGTCTAATTAGCGATGTCGGAAAGTTCATTTTTGGGGAGATGTATTGAAAATGTAACATGATTCAATGTTCATTGTGTTCATTGAATAAATCGAAGTGATTTTATTTAGTGATTCAATTTTTTTTCAATCATTTCATTTTGTAACTCATCTCGGGGATGTAGCTCAGTGGTAGAGTGCATGCTTTGCATGTATGAGGCCCCGGGTTCGAAACCCGGCATCTCCATTTTCTGATGCTGGTTGAAAACAAGTTGATGAGGGGGGGAAAACGTTTTAGAGATGTGTTGATTTGTAATTGAAAGTAACATAAAGCTAAACCATTTGATCATCTTGAACCCACTTGTAAATTAGTTGAAGGAAACTATATTCTTCAATTCAGTTATTGCTCAATAGCTTATATTTGGTAGTGACAAGAAATTGACACGCATTCATTGCCTCAAAACAATCTGCTGCTGCATTGGCCGGGAGTTGAACCCGGATCGACTGCTTGGAAGGCAACCATGCTAACCGTTACACCACCAATGCCAGGCTCATTACAGTTTGTCTAATTAGCGATGTCGGAAAGTTCATTTTTGGGGAGATGTATTGAAAATGTAACATGATTCAATGTTCATTGTGTTCATTGAATAAATCGAAGTGATTTTATTTAGTGATTCAATTTTTTTTCAATCCTTTCATTTTGTAACTCATCTCGGGGATGTAGCTCAGTGGTAGAGCGCATGCTTTGCATGTATGAGGCCCCGGGTTCGAAACCCGGCATCTCCATTTTCTGATGCTGGTTGAAAACAAGTTGATGAGGGGGGGAAAACGTTTTAGAGATGTGTTGATTCGTAATTGAAAGTAACATAAAGCTAAACCATTTGATCATCTTGAACCCACTTGTAAATTAGTTGAAGGAAACTATATTCTTCAATTCAGTTATTGCTCAATAGCTTATATTTGGTAGTGACCAGAAATTGACACGCATTCATTGCCTCAAAACAATCTGCTGCTGCATTGGCCGGGAGTTGAACCCGGATCGACTGCTTGGAAGGCAACCATGCTAACCGTTACACCACCAATGCCAGGCTCATTACAGTTTGTCTAATTAGCGATGTCGGAAAGTTCATTTTTGGGGAGATGTATTGAAAATGTAACATGATTCAATGTTCATTGTGTTCATTGAATAAATCGAAGTGATTTTATTTAGTGATTCAATTTTTTTTCAATCCTTTCATTTTGTAACTCATATCGGGGATGTAGCTCAGTGGTAGAGCGCATGCTTTGCATGTATGAGGCCCCGGGTTCGAAACCCGGCATCTCAATTTTCTGATGCTGGTTGAAAACAAGTTGATGAGGGGGGGGGGGGAAAACGTTTTAGAGATGTGTTGATTCGTAATTGAAAGTAACATAAAGCTAAACCATTTGATCATCTTGAACCCACTTGTAAATTAGTTGAAGGAAACTATATTCTTCAATTCAGTTATTGCTCAATAGCTTATATTTGGTAGTGAGAAGAAATTGACACGCATTCATTGCCTCAAAACAATCTGCTGCTGCATTGGCCGGGAGTTGAACCCGGATCGACTGCTTGGAAGGCAACCATGCTAACCGTTACACCACCAATGCCAGGCTCATTACAGTTTGTCTAATTAGCGATGTCGGAAAGTTCATTTTTGGGGAGATGTATTGAAAATGTAACATGATTCAATGTTCATTGTGTTCATTGAATAAATCGAAGTGATTTTATTTAGTGATTCAATTTTTTTTCAATCCTTTCATTTTGTAACTCATCTCGGGGATGTAGCTCAGTGGTAGAGCGCATGCTTTGCATGTATGAGGCCCCGGGTTCGAAACCCTGCATCTCCATTTTCTGATGCTGGTTGAAAACAAGTTGATGAGGTGGGGAAAACGTTTTAGAGATGTGTTAATTCGTAATTGAAAGTAACATAAAGCTAAACCATTTGATCATCTTGAACCCACTTGTAAATTAGTTGAAGGAAACTATATTCTTCAATTCAGTTATTGCTCAATAGCTTATATTTGGTAGTGAGAAGAAATTGACACGCATTCATTGCCTCAAAACAATCTGCTGCTGCATTGGCCCGGGAGTTGAACCCGGATCGACTGCTTGGAAGGCAACCATGCTAACCGTTACACCACCAATGCCAGGCTCATTACAGTTTGTCTAATTAGCGAAGTCGGAAAGTTCATTTTTGGGGAGATGTATTGAAAATGTAACATGATTCAATGTTCATTGTGTTCATTGAATAAATCGAAGTGATTTTATATAGTGATTCAATTTTTTTTCAATCCTTTCATTTTGTAACTCATCTCGGGGATGTAGCTCAGTGGTAGAGCGCATGCTTTGCATGTATGAGGCCCCGGGTTCGAAACCCGGCATCTCCATTTTCTGATGCTGGTTGAAAACAAGTTGATGAGGGGGGAAAAACGTTTTAGAGATGTGTTGATTCGTAATTGAAAGTAACATAAAGCTAAACCATTTGATCATCTTGAACCCACTTGTAAATTAGTTGAAGGAAACTATATTCTTCAATTCAGTTATTGCTCAATAGCTTATATTTGGTAGTGACAAGAAATTGACACGCATTCATTGCCTCAAAACAATCTGCTGCTGCATTGGCCGGGAGTTGAACCCGGATCGACTGCTTGGAAGGCAACCATGCTAACCGTTACACCACCAAAGCCAGGCTCATTACAGTTTGTCTAATTAGCGATGTCGGAAAGTTCATTTTTGGGGAGATGTATTGAAAATGTAACATGATTCAATGTTCATTGTGTTCATTGAATAAATCGAAGTGATTTTATTTAGTGATTCAATTTTTTTTCAATCCTTTCATTTTGTAACTCATCTCGGGGATGTAGCTCAGTGGTAGAGCGCATGCTTTGCATGTATGAGGCCCCGGGTTCGAAACCCGGCATCTCCATTTTCTGATGCTGGTTGAAAACAAGTTGATGAGGGGGAAAAAACGTTTTAGAGATGTGTTGATTCGTAATTGAAAGTAACATAAAGCTAAACCATTTGATCATCTTGAACCCACTTGTAAATTAGTTGAAGGAAAATATATTCTTCAATTCAGTTATTGCTCAATAGCTTATATTTGGTAGTGACAAGAAATTGACACGCATTCATTGCCTCAAAACAATCTGCTGCTGCATTGGCCGGGAGTTGAACCCGGATCGACTGCTTGGAAGGCAACCATGCTAACCGTTACACCACCAATGCCAGGCTCATTACAGTTTGTCTAATTAGCGATGTCGGAAAGTTCATTTTTGGGGAGATGTATTGAAAATGTAACATGATTCAATGTTCATTGTGTTCATTGAATAAATCGAAGTGATTTTATTTAGTGATTCAATTTTTTTTCAATCCTTTCATTTTGTAACTCATCTCGGGGATGTAGCTCAGTGGTAGAGCGCATGCTTTGCATGTATGAGGCCCCGGGTTCGAAACCCGGCATCTCCATTTTCTGATGCTGGTTGAAAACAAGTTGATGAGGGGGGGAAAAACGTTTTAGAGATGTGTTGATTCGTAATTGAAAGTAACATAAAGCTAAACCATTTGATCATCTTGAACCCACTTGTAAATTAGTTGAAGGAAACTATATTCTTCAATTCAGTTATTGCTCAATAGCTTATATTTGGTAGTGACAAGAAATTGACACGCATTCATTGCCTCAAAACAATCTGCTGCTGCATTGGCCGGGAGTTGAACCCGGATCGACTGCTAACCGTTACACCACCAATGCCAGGCTCATTACAGTTTGTCTAATTAGCGATGTAGGAAAGTTCATTTTTGGGGAGATGTATTGAAAATGTAACATGATTCAATGTTCATTGTGTTCATTGAATAAATCGAAGTGATTTTATTTAGTGATTCAATTTTTTTTCAATCCTTTCATTTTGTAACTCATCTCGGGGATGTAGCTCAGTGGTAGAGCGCATGCTTTGCATGTATGAGGCCCCGGGTTCGAAACCCGACATCTCCATTTTCTGATGCTGGTTGAAAACAAGTTTATGAGGGGGGGGGGGGGGAAACGTTTTAGAGATGTGTTGATTCGTAATTGAAAGTAACATAAAGCTAAACCATTTGATCATCTTGAACCCACTTGTATATTAGTTGAAGGAAACTATATTCTTCAATTCAGTTATTGCTCAATAGCTTATATTTGGTAGTGACAAGAAATTGACACGCATTCATTGCCTCAAAACAATCTGCTGCTGCATTGGCCGGGAGTTGAACCCGGATCGACTGCTTGGAAAGCAACCATGCTAACCGTTATACCACCAATGCCAGGCTCATTACAGTTTGTCTAATTAGCGATGTCGGAAAGTTCATTTTTGGGGAGATGTATTGAAAATGTAACATGATTCAATGTTCATTGTGTTCATTGAATAAATCGAAGTGATTTTATTTAGTGATTCAATTTTTTTTCAATCCTTTCATTTTGTAACTCATCTCGGGGATGTAGCTCAGTGGTAGAGCGCATGCTTTGCATGTATGAGGCCCCGGGTTCGAAACCCGGAATCTCCATTTTCTGATGCTGGTTGAAAACAAGTTGATGAGGGGGGAAAAACGTTTTAGAGATGTGTTGATTCGTAATTGAAAGTAACATAAAGCTAAACCATTTGATCATCTTGAACCCACTTGTAAATTAGTTGAAGGAAACTATATTCTTCAATTCAGTTATTGCTCAATAGCTTATATTTGGTAGTGACAAGAAATTGACACGCATTCATTGCCTCAAAACAATCTGCTGCTGCATTGGCCGGGAGTTGAACCCGGATCGACTGCTTGGAAGGCAACCATGCTAACCGTTACACCACCAATGCCAGGCTCATTACAGTTTGTCTAATTAGCGATGTCGGAAAGTTCATTTTTGGGGAGATGTATTGAAAATGTAACATGATTCAATGTTCATTGTGTTCATTGAATAAATCGAAGTGATTTTATTTAGTGATTCAATTTTTTTTCAATCCTTTCATTTTGTAACTCATTTCGGGGATGTAGCTCAGTGGTAGAGCGCATGCTTTGCATGTATGAGGCCCCGGGTTCGAAACCCGGCATCTCCATTTTCTGATGCTGGTTGAAAACAAGTTGATGAGGGGGGGGGGGGAAACGTTTTAGAGATGTGTTGATTCGTAATTGAAAGTAACATAAAGCTAAACCATTTGATCATCTTGAACCCACTTGTAAATTAGTTGAAGGAAACTATATTCTTCAATTCAGTTATTGCTCAATAGCTTATATTTGGTAGTGACAAGAAATTGACACGCATTCATTGCCTCAAAACAATCTGCTGCTGCATTGGCCGGGAGTTGAACCCGGATTGACTGCTTGGAAGGCAACCATGCTAACCGTTACACCACCAATGCCAGGCTCATTACAGTTTGTCTAATTAGCGATGTCGGAAAGTTCATTTTTGGGGAGATGTATTGAAAATGTAACATGATTCAATGTTCATTGTGTTCATTGAATAAATCGAAGTGATTTTATTTAGTGATTCAATTTTTTTTCAATCCTTTCATTTTGTAACTCATCTCGGGGATGTAGCTCAGTGGTAGAGCGCATGCTTTGCATGTATGAGGCCCCGGGTTCGAAACCCGGCATCTCCATTTTCTGATGCTGGTTGAAAACAAGTTGATGAGGGGGGAAAAACGTTTTAGAGATGTGTTGATTCGTAATTGAAAGTAACCTAAAGCTAAACCATTTGATCATCTTGAACCCACTTGTAAATTAGTTGAAGGAAACTATATTCTTCAATTCAGTTATTGCTCAATAGCTTATATTTGGTAGTGACAAGAAATTGACACGCATTCATTGCCTCAAATGAATCTGCTGCTGCATTGGCCGGGAGTTGAACCCGGATCGACTGCTTGGAAGGCAACCATGCTAACCGTTACACCACCAATGCCAGGCTCATTACTGTTTGTCTAATTAGCGATGTCGGAAAGTTCATTTTTGGGGAGATGTATTGAAAATGTAACATGATTCAATGTTCATTGTGTTCATTGAATAAATCGAAGTGATTTTATTTAGTGATTCAATTTTTTTTCAATCCTTTCATTTTGTAACTCATCTCGGGGATGTAGCTCAGTGGTAGAGCGCATGGTTTGCATGTATGAGGCCCCGGGTTCGAAACCCGGCATCTCCATTTTCTGATGCTGGTTGAAAACAAGTTGATGAGGGGGGGAAAACGTTTTAGAGATGTGTTGATTCGTAATTGAAAGTAACATAAAGCTAAACCATTTGATCATCTTGAACCCACTTGTAAATTAGTTGAAGGAAACTATATTCTTCAATTCAGTTATTGCTCAATAGCTTATATTTGGTAGTGACAAGAAATTGACACGCATTCATTGCCTCAAAACAATCTGCTGCTGCATTGGCCAGGAGTTGAACCCAGATCGACTGCTTGGAAGGCAACCATGCTAACCGTTACACCACCAATGCCAGGCTCATTACAGTTTGTCTAATTAGCAATGTCGGAAAGTTCATTTTTGGGGAGATGTATTGAAAATGTAACATGATTCAATGTTCATTGTGTTCATTGAATAAATCGAAGTGATTTTATTTAGTGATTCAATTTTTTTTCAATCCTTTCATTTTGTAACTCATTTCGGGGATGTAGCTCAGTGGTAGAGCGCATGCTTTGCATGTATGAGGCCCCGGGTTCGAAACCCGGCATCTCCATTTTCTGATGCTGGTTGAAAACAAGTTGATGAGGGGGGGAAAACGTTTTAGAGATGTGTTGATTCGTAATTGAAAGTAACATAAAGCTAAACCATTTGATCATCTTGAACCCACTTGTAAATTAGTTGAAGGAAACTATATTCTTCAATTCAGTTATTGCTCAATAGCTTATATTTGGTAGTGACAAGAAATTGACACGCATTCATTGCCTCAAAACAATCTGCTGCTGCATTGGCCGGGAGTTGAACCCGGATCGACTGCTTGGAAAGCAACCATGCTAACCGTTACACCACCAATGCCAGGCTCATTACAGTTTGTCTAATTAGCGATGTCGGAAAGTTCATTTTTGGGGAGATGTATTGAAAATGTAACATGATTCAATGTTCATTGTGTTCATTGAATAAATCGAAGTGACTTTATTTAGTGATTCAATTTTTTTTTCAATCCTTTCATT